TTGAAATTCAAAAATGTTATCGGAAAATTAAGTTGTATATTTGGACATGCAAATCGCTTGAAAAAATTGAAATTTTATAACTGATAAGAAATTTCACATCAAAAATTGGTCAAAATTATTTTTTTTTTCAAATTTTAGAAACTATCTTCAAATACTAACCAAACTTCAATATTTTTTTATATTTTTTTGTTGACAATTTTTTAATTTTTTTTTGGGTATAGGGTGCTAGAGGACCTGATGAAGAAGAAAATAATTGGCCACCATGGTTAAAGCCATTGCTTAAAGAAAGATTTTTTGTTCAATGCAAGTTACATATTGATTCTCATAAGAGTGAATGCAATATGTATTGTCTTGATTGTATTAATGGCCCTCTTTGTTCTCTTTGTTTATCTCATCACAAAGACCATATTGCCATTCAGGTATATCTTATTTCATAAATTATAATAAAGTATTCCGTATTTACGTAGGGTTTGAAAATGGATCGTACTCTAAAGAGTGTGATGTAGATAATCTATTCTAATGCAAGCATTAATGAATGCGACTTATTTTTATTCTTTCACCATTTTAGTTGTGATATGTTTTTCAATGGTTACATAGTGTATATAGTGGCGGAGCCAGAAATTCTATCGTGGGCTAGTGCCTGTATTTGCCTTTGCACTATAAATTTCAACATTTTAGATTTTTAGCATTGAAAACTTTTCTACTTCTAAAGTTATGAGTTCAGATATACTGTTTTTTTGCAATTTTAATAGTTTTTTACTAGTAAACTTATGGTCTACATCGAAAATACTAGAGGTTCATTCGCCTTTGTTAAGGGAATTCAACAATTTATATAAATACTCAAGTATACTTTTTAACATATTTACACGGTAACTTTTTGACAAAGAGGATTTAATCGAACCCTCTTATATGTACATATTTTCTTTTGTTTATAGCGAGAATTTAGTACACTGAACTATACTCTTTTAGAAAGTATGAAATGATTGATTTTGGGTGCTCTATTTTTGGTTGGACAGATAAGGAGGTCATCATACCATGATGTGATAAGGGTGAATGAGATTCAAAAGTATTTGGACATTTCTTTAGTCCAAACATACATTATCAACAGTGCTAAGATTGTCTTTTTGAATGAAAGGCCACAACCTAGGCCAGGCAAAGGTGTCACAAATACATGTCAAGTTTGTGAAAGGACCCTTCTTGATTCCTTCAATTTTTGCTCTCTTGGTTGCAAGGTACTTCAAATCTACCTTACTCAAATTCTTCAAAAATAATGCCATATATGTGTCAGATTGTCTGAAAATGCATAGAATCAATATTACTCGAATGCTTAAAAAATGATATCTCACATGTGTGAGATTATCTAGAAGTGCATAACTTTTGAAGGATTCGATATACTGGACAGTATCTTTAAGGAGTCTGAATAATATAGTAACATAAAACAACAATGTCCTTCTAGAGAAATTCTTCTTTTTCCCCTTGACCAAGTTTTCTTGCATTTATTTGACTCTTAATGGCATTTTAATTTGTGGAGGATGCAACACAACTGCTCGAATTCTCCAAAAATGTTATACTTGGGTTCTCTAAAATACAATATTTTTGGAGGATCCGATGCGTACACGTTGCATTTTTCAGAGGATGCAACATACACCTTACGATTATGTTGTTCGGACAATTTTTTGTTGTCAGGTCCTTTAAAAATGTGATACTTTTGGAGGATTTGACACACACTCGTTGACATTTTTAAAGATTTCGTCCATCTTAACATAAGACGTCAATGCCCTTCTAGAGAAACTCTTTTTTTCCTTTGCCAAATTTTCTTGCATTTATTTGACTTTTTAATGGCATTGAATTGAATTGGGCGTGTCCAAGAATCTTGAATTGCGTATATTTCAAGGTATATTTTGGTTTCATGGTCGTTTGGTATTAAATGTAGGTATGGAAATTTCACTCACATTGATTGGTCTATTGATAGGAAAACTTTGGCATAAATAATCAACTTCTTTAAAAAATTGGAAATTTCAAAAGTTGTTAGGAATTGAAACTTCAATTATTATACGTGAATTCTCCAAAATTGTTGTCTCACTCGTCTATATCAAATCTTCCAAAAATAACCTTTTTTAGCATTTTGAGGATCTGATACGAGTCTGACATCATATTTGAAGAATTCAAGCAACCAAAAGGCAATGACCCTTTCTTGTATTTATTTTGTACTCGAATTTGGAAATGACACTCAAATCTTGAGTATTACATGTCTTTGACATTCAATAACATATTATGTGAATTGAATTGATCCAAATAGAACAAAATAACTTATATAGTCGATACCAACCTGATTTGTGCAGGTTATTGGGACCTCAAAGAACTTCATTAAGAAGCCGAGGGACTTATTAGCAAAGAGGCGGTTGAAGGCGATAGCATCGGACTCCGATGACACTTACAGCCACAACAACCATGGTCGATATAGAAGTACCACCATCAACAAGGTGCAAAGTTTTATTCCGTCAACGCCCCCTCCAACTTCTGTTAATTACAGAACGGCCAAACGAAGAAAAGGAATTCCACATAGATCCCCAATGGGAGGACTAGTTATAGAATATTAAGCCCTAAAATTAATATACACAAAATATACAACTTTAGTTCTTACAATTACTAAAAAAAATACTAGTGCCTTTCTTACAAAAAGGCCAGTGTTTGATAACTTTTGTCTATAAAGAGCAATAATGTAAAGTTAGGGGTGAAAATTGAAACAAGAAAAAAATGGAAGGATTAAATGAGTTAAGTTAGAAGTTGGGATTAGATAATAAGTTATTATATTTATGTATTTATTGATAATATTATACTGTTTGTTTGACTTTTGCTTTTCAAAGGTTTTGTAAATAAAATTTAGATAATACTGTCCTATGGTTTGGATATTTAAACATTTTTATGTATATGAGAGTTTTGGTATTGTAAATAATTTATAGTGTTTAAATGTTCTGATTTTTTAATAAAACATTCTTGTTCTTATCAAAAAATAAATAAATTACATAATAAATAGGATGTTATTGAGTGGGAATTTATAGTGCTTTTCCTATAGTTAATATCTAAATTTTTGATTTAAAATATCGAATTAATGTAATCTAATTTAATTTTGAAAATTAGTCAAAATTGACTTTCGAAAAGTGAAACATGACAATTAAAAGTGGATAGAATGAGTATGAACAAAAGGCAAAATAGTAAAATTGTCAATCTATTAAATACTTCTTAACCATCGTGTAAAATAGAAAGTGTTCATCTAATATTGGACGAAGGGTACTAAAGTGGGTAAGTTGTTATGAAAAAGTTATATGAGTTACAAAGCATAATGAAGTAATATAATAACAAATAAAGAGTTAGTAATATATGTTTATTCGACCAAATAATATATTAGTGGTAACTGGATTCACAAATAAATATTTACAAATATTTAGTACAAATAAAAACTATTGAGCTTCTGTGTATCTATCCATTCTTTTCTAGATTAACATTATTTAGAGAAAAAAATTGCAAAAATATCACAAGCTATTTTAAAAAAAAAAAAATCATACTTTGTCTAGAAAACTGGATAACTTTAAAACTTCACCAAACCTACAATTTCCACTAATAGTTTTGCTATTCATTTCTCCAAAATTGATGCAACTTCTCATTGTATTATGCCCTTTCATATTTTTTGCATTTATCACATGTTGAGGCAATCTCATAGTAAACCTATCTTCATTTTCCCTTATTATAATTATAGAGTGCCCCGTGGATCGTGATCTCGTGAATTTTTTACCATTCTCTCGTAATTCAACACGTTCTGTTGACGGTATCATCGTCGTTGTCGTTCCACTATTGCATCCTTTTTCATCATTATTAATGGTGTTTTCGTAATTGATTGTCATGTTGCATGCATTTTCTGATGACTCACCCTCGTTACTCGTGCCATGCATTGGATCATTTATCAATTGTCTCCTGGACCCCATACATGACTGATGCTTAGTGCACTGGATTGAGTCGAGGTTCGCACGACATACGGGGCATGTCTTGTGTGATTTAAGCCAATAGTCAATGCATTCTTGATGAAACACATGGTTACATGTTAACAAACGAATAAAGCTATTGTCTACAAATTCTACCAAACAAATAGCACATTCAATTCCAAATTTACCCTCACCATAATCTTGTACACTTGAATAGATAAATGTTGGAAAAGATTGAATAATTAATGGATCAAGACCTTTATCATTTTTTGTTGGACAAATTGGATATCCAGCTACAGTAATATACCATGAGTCTAGTATATGTTGCATGAAACATCTACAAAAGAAAATGGTGAAAAAAATAATAAAAAGGACTAGAAAGACAATGAATGTGATAATTAAAGGTGGAGCGGAATATGATAATGGTGGTAGTGATGGTGATGGTGATGGTGATGATGAGTTCTGTATGGAGCTCGTCAACATTTCTATTGAAGAAAGCAAAGCGAAAAAGTTATCTTAGTACTGCGAGATCCATAAATGGTGCCTTAAAACTATATTGATTTTGTGCGGTAACCAAAAAAGTAAAGAATATTATTCTAAACGTGAAAAAATAGATTTCTTTTTTCTAGAGTGACTGAGCAAATGTAGGACAGTCAAGGATGTATTTTATTTCTGAACTAGTCAATTTATTCACGCTTTGCTCGGTCATAAGTAATATCAACAAATTCATACTTTATTAAATATGGATTTTCTCACAATATTGTCTAATTAAATACCAATAAAATAGAGTTATAGTATCTTTTATATTTTAAATGTATTTTCATTGCTCTTTTATATTTTAAAAGTATAAGTATTCGATATATGTAAATCACAAAACTTCTAAAATCACATAATATATACATCTATAAGTAATATGTATTTATATCAAGAGTGCTATTTCAAGTTAATAAAAATATTGATTAATAGAAAATTAATTTAGGAATGAGTGAATTTCTTAAATCAGCACTCGTAGAAGCAATGAAAATATTAATGTATATTATTATTAAAAGCAAAATATGACTAAATAGAGTTACAACAACTAAGAAGACTTCTTGATTTTCCACAAACTATTAGAATTTTCAAATAGTAATTTATCATTCTTTCTCAACTAACATAAAATTATCTTAATTCTCGTGAATTCAATAATTTTTTATAATATCTTTAAAAATATGAGCTTCAATTTTATATATCGATTTTGCATCCATCAATCTTCTTGATCATGATTTTGTTCAATTTCTTGTTGCTTATCCTCTGTTGGATTATCTTTGAATCTTTCTCAAAACTATCAAATCAAAAAAGGGAAAAAATAAAATATGTTAGTAATAAATTCATATCCTCAAAAATGAACACTAATATAATATTTGATCAATGATTGTTTTCTCTTTTATGTCATGCCATCTATTCTATATTTTAGAGTTTTCTATCCAATATTCAAATAAATAAGGATGCAGCTAGAATAGTAGGATGGAGGTAAATGTCCAAATATGAGTTTCTTCGAATTCAATAACTTTTAAAATAAAGTAATATTTATGTTAAAAAATTTATTAACTATAGACAAATATTAAATTTAAAATCTAAATATTAATACTTTAAATAATTATTTTAAAATCTTCCATCATCCAAAAGAGTGTTGGATTCATTGCAACAAGAGAGGGCATATATATATATATGATTATTGTAGGAATTATAAATTTTAAATTCTTGATTCGTTCCTGGACATTCTCATCTCGACGAATATCAATAGAAAATTCCATGGGAAATGGGCCGGGGTTATTATTATTTTTCTTCTTGAACTCATAAATGTCTAGTCAAATACCGTTACATAAAACCAATATATATATATATATATTTAGGGAGAGGGAAAATGAGAGACATGTTGAGTTTGACTAAGCTATGATTTTGTAATGTTTTCACTGGTGATTAATAAAATCATGTCAGTTACCAAAAAAAATAAAAATGAGAGACATATATATATATATATATATATATATATATATATATATATATATATATCTT